AAAGGCACCCCCCCCCCCCCCCAGTCTTATTTTAGGGTCTGAAGCACTCACCCACTGGCACAAACGGAGACTCCTTGGATTTTCTTATCAACTTCGACGTCTGAGAATCTTGCAGCTCGTAGGTTGGCAGGACGTCTCCGCTGTTTGAGGCCATATTGTCTACAAAGAGCACAAACATCACTGTGAGGAAGAAAGATTTACACAATGACGAGTTCATCAATTGAAAGCTGGCTGTGCAAAGGGAGGTCAGGGAGTCTGCGCAGGTGTTAACACTCGGATACACATGATTGAAGCCGGGAATAAAACATGTTTGATAAAGACAATTAAAGTAGATGTAAAAACTCTAACTGAACGTCATTTTCTGTTTTAAAGCACTGTGTATTAAATACATTTTTTAAATCCTTAGGTTTTGTCATCCTTCTTCCCATGTAGTTACAGTGATGCCGATCTCCTGAAGCCACTTCCTGTCTACACGCACTCCAGCTATGGCTGCAATTTCTCAGGAGTGGGTTTCCTGATGGTGACAATAATGGACCATGTCTGTGTAATGGGTGTTAAAATGCCACTTGTAGTCTCCATCAGAATGTGACAATGCAGAGAACTGGGAGACCGGTACAGAGCATTCTCATGCTAAACAGGAAGTGCCTGAACAACAGGGGGTGCCTAATTCCCATCACCCGGGAAATGCAGTTCCGGGCACCGGATTGGCGTTTTCTTTCTCTACATTTAGCACAGGTCCCTTGTAGCAGCTTGCTTGTTCTCCCTCTTACCCGCTCTTCTGGGGGACCCAGGACCACGGCAAAGACTTCAGGATGGAGAGCGGAGAAAGTTCATTCTCTGATCTGCTCTGTGTGATCAATGAGGCAGGAGGACTTCACTCCCCCCCGCTTCCCGCCTCAGCTGTCACCACAGCAGTGGGACCTCCGGTAGCAGAGCGGTGTCCTCATAGTTTTTGTAGCCCATCCATTACTTCCTCCTGCCCCATAACAGAAAGTCCGTAACTCCATACAGACCACCAGTTTGGGGCAAACAATGTAAGAGACAGGTCATGGCACCCGTGATGCACCGATTGCATTAGTATTGCTCTGCAGGCTTGAATGCAAAAATATCATAAAAATTTACTTTCAATTTGTTGTTGGCAATTTGTTATTTTTTTTAAAAGTTGACTATCCCTTGAAGTGTGAAGGAAGAAACATTGCAAAGTTTACAAAATCTCCTCCCAATAAAGTGTCAACTTGTATGACTGAACAGGTACTGACATCACAGGATTTAGTTGGGAAGAGGTTACTGGAGGGTTCAGTTGCAGAATAGAGGTCGTCATATTCAGGATTACACATTACCCGGCACCCAATTCCTCAGGAACATTAGAGGCTCACAGGGGCCCTGTAAGTACTTGAGGCGTTGCTGTATTGTGTAACAGCGCATTAGACACCAGACTTCAGGAGAGCCATTAACAGGGGTATGTACGAGTTCCAGAACCTGATCACTCCTGGATTTCACCCCCCACCACACCAGGTTCACATGAATTTAACCTTATGTTAAAAGGAGAACTATGAGATGAGTGCTTTTCACTCCCCTCATAGTTCTAGCCGACCTGTGACAATGAGTCTGTCACAGGTCGGCTCAGTAGATCGGGAGGTGAGCGAACACATACCGGCGTTCGCTCACCTCTCGATCCTGTCACGGCTCTCTGCCATGACAGGGGAGGGGCTGGGTTCCCCTCTCCGATCTGCCAGCGCTGACTGGCGGAACAGACGGGGGAGGGGGCGGGTACAGCTGGCTCTGCCTCTAGATAGGCAGAGCCAGCTGTCACTCACGCAGCTGGGCGGATCCCGTCGTCTAAGTCAGGATCCGCTCCGGCGTCTCAGTATACCGCGAGCTGTAGCTCGCGGTATACTGAGCTTAGGGTAACGAGGGGACGCTAGTTTGTGTCCTCCCGTTACCCTAAGGAGAACTATGGAGAAAAGCCCTGACCCCATAGTTCTCCTTTAATACCAGAAAAATATTTGTTGTGCAATTTCTATTTCTCAGTTATACTTTGTTACCTTTTATATTTTCAGCTATACGTTGTTAGGTCATGGCTGGTGGGAGGAGCCGGCAGGGTGCTGTGCATAGCTACCTGAAAACATCACAGCACTCCTCTCAAATGTTCTCAGCCCTGATGCAAGCAGTGGGCTGAATTTGGGGGGGGATGAGCTCTGCAAATGTCAAAATGCCTTGATGTGTAGATGTCGGTCTGGCAGAGCGGGTGTTCTTAGGTAGGCTGTATATAGATGCAGGTAACACCCACAAGCCCTCCATCTTGCATGTGCGGTCAGCAGCCCCAGTAGACTTGGAGAGGCCACTGAAGTGACACACTATATTCCTTTTCACTCCTCCCCCAGCAGCTACATAAAAAAGGGCTATGTTGGAGGATCTGGGCCAGCACAGACAGTAATTAGGCACTACCTGACAAGGAGGGAGGGGGCTGTGCTAGAGAATGGACTTTCCCTGGTGGAACTGGATTTTCTAGAAAATTTTAAGACATTGCAAATCAAATCATTTATGTGAACACTGCAGTTCCGTTAGGACACTTTGCTTTTTCCGTGCTTTCATTTGCAATCTAGGCAGGTTCTCTTTAAACAGCATTTGGATTTGTTTTTCTAGACTAGAGTATCCAGTGTATAAATCCAAGGGAGACATTTTCCATTGTACAATCTTCTTCCCATCTATCCCATGTACATTCAGGCCCGGTCTAGCACAGCATGCTGGAACTTGTAGTTGCAGGTCTTCTGGTTTCCTGTATGTGCTGCAGAGGACACGTATGACGCAAATTATTCCTGTAACAGGAGAACACGTCAGCAGAGGATGTGACAAGACTTTCTTCATACAGAGGCAAGTGGCAGCTTGAAGTCAGAGGGGGCCGTGTGCTCAGGAAGAGGACGCCCAGCCTGGATCCGTGCCCACGGAATGTGTTCTGCAGACTTTTCCTATCACATGTCACACGACGGGCGTCCAGACACATTGTATCACTTGGGAAACAAGAATCATATTTATAGATTTTGTTCCCCCGACCCTGTGCCATGCCGCAGCCTAAATCTACACAGACATTGCTGTCCCAAACCATTCACTACTGACCTCCAAAATTGGGATAATAGACAAGGCCGGATTTGTATTTATAAAAACGTAATTTTTTTAAATATTTTTATTTATTAATTCATTTTTTATTAAATATTTTTATTTTTTACATTACTTTTAAAACAGACCCCTGATATTTCCCTTTTAAAATATAAAAAGGAGATTGAGACACACCAGAGCCCTCAGGAGACACACCAGAGCCCTCAATCTTTTTCTGTATCCCCTCTTATCAATGAACAGGGACCCTAAATGCTGAGTGTTCCTGTTCATTGATAACATGAGGAAAGAGTATGTTTACTATAACTTCAACTATGAATGAACAGGAAGTGATATAGATCACTCCCATTCAGTCATAATTGAGGATATAGTCAACATACGGCGGCCGATATATCGGCGCATCCCTTGTATCTATCATTTTTTAATCAAAAAGTCCTCGTTGTATTATGATCATCACATAGGACTGGACTTATTCTGTAATAGTGAGGATGTGTCGTGGCTTCTGTGTTAGTGTGGATGGAGGAATCTACTGGTCCTCTTGTGCAGACCATGAGCTGAGCAACAGATAACTAAGGCTGGGCACACATACCTTACAACCATCGCAAGACTTTTGTCTTGCGATGGTTGTAAGGTTATATAAAAAAAAAAACAAAAAAAAAAAAAAAACGTAACATCTCCCCACATTGGGACAGGAACAGTCCGGCTCGTCCGGCTTTTATCTTACGAACATGCTACACACCCGCCGAACATCGTACGATTCCCGGCGGGTTTTCGAACATGTTCCTAAGATAAAAGTCGTGCGACCTTACAGTAGCAGAGGTCGCACGGCTTCCACACACCTTGCGATAATCGTACGATCGCGGGATTTCCCGCAATTATCGCAAGGTGTGTGGGCACCTTTAGCGTCTATGGCCGGGTGCAAGCCTGGAACTAAACCTTTCCTGGGTACAGCTCTCATTTCGAGACGCCCTAACCGCACACACCAGGTCAGGTACGTCCCCAGAACCCACAATACAACCACAGCACCCCATGGAAAGCGACCACTGAGTCATGCAGTGGGGTGAAGAGCCCCCCAAATCTCAGACATAGACAGATATTTGCACATCTCAAAACTTGGGGATTCCTAGGAGAAGCTGACAAATGACTAACATGCATCAGTACTATTGCAGTGTCTGCTATCACAAAGCTTGACACTTTACATTGAGGGCTAGCGCACACCGGATGCAGTCCGTTCAGTTTGGGCCGCTGCAGCCAAAATACATCGCAATGGTTTCCTATGGGATTTCTGGTGCTCTATTCACACCAGTTCAGTACGTTCTGATGCAGTAAAAAAAAAGAAAATAAATACTGGTTGCCCTATTTTAGCTGCATCGGATCGCTTTAAAAGCACTGGAACGCACCTGACATCCCATTTTAGGGCTAGTTCACACCAGAAACGCATGCGTCTGCGCAGCTGCAATGTGATGCATTTTGCTGCGATTTCATAGCGATTGATAGGGTTTTTTTGTGTGTGCTTAAAATGGGATTTCAGGTGGCTTCCATTGAGCTTGCATGCGTTTTTGATGCGTTCTGGTGCTAAAATAGAGCAAGCAGTATTTTTTCTGACTAGCCCTTAAGTGAAAACCCCCCAAATGCATAAAGCACAGTAAAATTGCAGCAAAATGCATCGCACTGCAGCTGCCCAGACGCACGCAGTTCTGGTGTGAACTAGCCCTGAATTTTACAAGGACAGCTTCTGCTAAGCCTGTAAATTACATTGGAGTGTATAGGAGTGCACCCGTCACCATAGTGGCCCGTGCGGCAGCTGGGACCTGGTGTGCTGGACCTGCCTTGGCCTTCTGGAAGCCTCTTGATTGCTGGTGCTTTACAACAATAGAATATCCTGCATAATATTAAATTTAGTGGCAGCCAGCTCCAGGCCCACCACTGAAAATAGGCCCGGGCCAGCCCAGATCTCCTAGTCATGCCCAATGGCAATCCAGGCTGACCACAATCATGCAGAGGTGCTGGCGGCTTTCTAATCAGGCATAATAGGCAGCCGCCCGCTGGAGCTTTGCAGGGCCCCAGCGAGGAGCGAGCCGCCACCTAAGTAGAGAACCTCCCCTGCTGCCTTTCATCCAATCGGCCAACAGCACCAGGTCCATGATGCTCTTAATCAGGCCCTGGCAGCAAGCACAATATCCTCCAGTGCTATGGGAGCCGCCTGCCCGGGTCTATGAAGAGCCATAAACCAGCCAGGATATAAAATGGAAGGTTGTTCTGTTTTAGCACCATAATTACAATGCTGGTAGAGGACGCCATTTACATAACCCATGGCCTACAAACACAACCAGGAAATGTGAATGAAAAAAAAAGGACAGTACAGCCAGCTACTGGTTTATGATAAAGGTGATAAAGTACAGACGTCTTCCTTATTGGAATCAACCTCCATCACACCCATGTAATAACTTGCTAAGTACGTGCACAGGAAGGAGCAGCCGGTCCCACAAGTCATTCAATATAGTTCACTCATAAAATGCTCATTTGTAAAAAAAAACAGGAGGTGACTTGTGTGCCGTCTGGGGAACCAAGGGCGCCGTCGTACTGGGGAACCAAGGGCGCCGTCGTACTGGGGAACCAAGGGCGCCGTCGTACTGGGGAACCAAGGGCGCCGTCGTACTGGGGAACCAAGGGCGCCGTCGTACTGGGGAACCAAGGGCGCCGTCGTACTGGGGAACCAAGGGCGCCGTCGTACTGGGGAACCAAGGGCGCCGTCGTACTGGGGAACCAAGGGCGCCGTCGTACTGGGGAACCAAGGGCGCCGTCGTACTGGGGAACCAAGGGCGCCGTCGTACTGGGGAACCAAGGGCGCCGTCGTACTGGGGAACCAAGGGCGCCGTCGTACTGGGGAACCAAGGGCGCCGTCATACTGGGGAACCAAGGGCGCCGTCATACTGGGGAACCAAGGGCGCCGTCATACTGGGGAACCAAGGGCGCCGTCATACTGGGGAACCAAGGGCGCCGTCATACTGGGGAACCAAGGGCGCCAAAATGGCCGACAACCGGGGTTACAGGTTGGGGAAAATGACCTTCAGAAGCACAGACGATCACTTGCACTTCATTCATAATTCTGCATGGAGCCTCATTGTGTGAGCAAAGCTGCAAGGAAGAAACTCCTGGAATCCATGGAAAAAGGAATGATTTGGCACCAAGTATATTGAATTTAGTATGTGAAGGCTCCGGCACTACATCCAGAAGAATCAGATATATTCCGTACAGGGAACGTATATGAAAGCTGGTCTAATGCGGTGTGCCTGGTCCGTGTGTGCATAGGACTGGCCTTGGTCTGCCCGGTATGATGGAAGATCTAGGAACGCAGCTACATTTAGATTACACACGTCCTGTATACGTCCTCCGGTTAGCTCAGTGTCCCTAACCACCACACTACGACTACAGGGGTGTGGAATTCCTATCGCCCGACGCCCAGGACACGCAGTTTGGGGCACCGGGCGAGTGTTTTTTTTATTAACATTTAGCCCTGCTCCGGACAAGCAGAGCTAAATGTACAGCGTGAGGCCGCTGCTCGTTTTTATACAAGTGATCTGATTAGATCACTTGTATGAAAGAAATCGGCGGCTATTGTGTCCGGTCACCGCCGCCATGACCACGGCACACAAGCTCACCATAGAGCCCGAAGTGTAATCACTGAGACTGTGGCGCTGTGATCACAGCAACAATGTATCAATCTACATTCCAGAGGTACGTTACCGCTCCTTCAACCTCCTTGGAGTATTCGCTGCCAGAATCACGCCTCTTATTAAATCATTTATACAGGATTTAAATAGCACCAACAGTTTGTGCAGCGCTTTACAATTACAATACAATTCAAGACAAGACGGTAAGGAGGGCCCTGCCCCTGAAGGCTTACAATTAAAAAGGGAGGGGTCAGTGATACACGGGTATCCTCAGACCATTTAGCTTTTTTTAGAGCAACCTCAATAGAGATACTGCACTATGAACTTGAAGGACCCTCTTCAACCACCAACTCTCCCTCCTCCGAGGGACGCCCTTCAGCCCCGAACTCTCCCTCCACCGAGGGACGCCCTTCAGCCCCCAACTCTCCCTCCACCGAGGGACACCCTTCAGCCCCCAACTCTCCCTCCTCCAAAAGGGACGCCCTTCAGCCCCCAACTCTCCCTCCACCGAGGGACGCCCTTCAGCCCCCAACTCTCCCTCCACTGAGGGACGCCCTTCAGCCCCCAACTCTCCCTCCTCCAAAAGGGACGCCCTTAAACCATGAAATCTCTTCCTTGAGGGACGCTCTTCAAGCATGAACTACTTACCAGTGGAATCCAGGACCTCTGATACAAATCTTCCAGCCAATATAAGGGATCACTTTACATATTGTATATTTTACCACTTGCACAAGTTATAGAAAAGTTACAGCCGCACCGCATGTTGATAAAGGAAATCCAGTTGTGAAAATTATGGGGGGGGGGGGGAGGTTTTTTGTAAAGAATATTTAAT